CCGGACTCTCAACTCTGTTGTTGTGCGTCTTTAATTTTTAGCTTCTGGTTTGGAGAGCGGTGTGCGAGTCCTGCAATCGCACCGATTCCAACTGCCTTATGGTGCTGATGGGATGTTGTTGTTGTCACTGTACGTGGCGTAGCAGACGTGTCTCTCCCCTTTCCTTTTGCTTTCACTCTGCGTTGACGAGGAGTTAGTTTGTGCTGGAGGCTGCACGCAAGTGGCAGGAGTGATGGCGATGATGATGACTGGCCGTGTGCTGCTGGTGTGTGCCCTCTGCGTGCTGTGGTGCGGTGCCGGCGGTAGATGTGACGGGGGAAAAACGGCGGGTCTTGGGAGTGCTGAGCATCTGCTGGAATCACAAGAACTTGAAAAGTCTCCACAATTTACGCAAGGCATAAGAGATGGAACTGGAGGTGTTAAAGAAAAAGTACTTTCCACATCTTCAGAGGATGAAGATAAAGAAGATGCCAGTGAAGAGAATGAACATGAAGAGACGGAAGATGGAGAAAAAAAAAGTATAGAAAGGCAGGGTGATCAAGGAGGAACAGTTGCATCAGACCCAAATTCCGGGGAAAAGAATTTAATTGGCAGCGGGCAGGAAAACAACCCGGCAATTGTACCTGCAGGGGGCATTTCACCTTCCGGCAGTCAGGAATCAAATGCCAATCCTTCGCAACCGGAAGTAGATGAAAAGAAGGAAACCGAAAAAAGTTTACCTGCAGTAGAGAACGCACACACACCAGGTAACAGAGAGAACACACTGCCTGGGGGAGTTGCGGGAGGAAATCCTCCATCACCTCCAGAAGACGGTGTTGCTTCCCGCGAACACGATGGCGAAGAGACCACGAGTGAAGAAAAAAAAGATGTTCCACCGCCTGAGACCGCGGCCACACCACAAAGCCACCAAGACAAAGGCTCAGAAGGGAATGGGGAAGACACAAAAGCAACGACAGTAACCGCCAACACAACTGATACGACGAGCACACAAAACAGTGACGGCAGCACCGCGGTCTCGCACACCACCTCCCCTCTTTTTCTTCTTCTTGTTGTTGCGTGTGCGGCTGCGGCTGCGGTGGTGGCCGCGTGAGAGTGAGGGAGAGAGAGCCGTGCACCGCCCGCACACACACTCGTCCTTCTCTCTCTCTCTGTGTGTGTCCCCTTGCATGGACTCTTGCCCTCACCTCACCCCACGAGGCACACACATAATGTGCCCATTGTATATATGCATGCACACCCATGCAGGCCCGTTGGTGCTCTCTTTTGCACGACACGCACCGCTGCCGTCCTGCCTGGCTGCATGGGCGGAGCACCGTAACTGTTTTTTATTATTATTATTATTTGTAATTTTTTTAATTTTTCTTTGCTATGAGCGTTTATCTATTTCTTACAACCCCATTCCTTTTTTTTGTTGCGTATTTAAATTTATTTTCCTGTTTGCTTCTTTTCTTTTTTTTAAAAAAATTTATCTGTTCTTTTTTTTCTAATCTTTTTTTTCCAATCTTTAATCCCCTCGTCCCTTCTTTTTTGCTTTCGGGGGCAATCACTATGGACGTTTTTTCTCTTCTTTTCTACTCTTCCCTCTTTTAATTGTTTCTGCTGCACTCTTCCTGTGAGGGGTGCCGTGTGTTCCCGCCCAACTGCTCCACTCGCACACCCACCGACACGCTCGTGACGACGGCCCTGTGCGCCTCGCCTGCTGCGCGCATGAGGAGGGGCCGCGACGAACGGCGCGCTGAGGGAGCCGTGAAGTGTGGGCGTGCGACGAGGGCCTGTGGGGCGGAGCACACATTTCTTCCCTCTTGTTTTGTTTTCTTTGCGGCGAGGGCGGGCAGACACCCGCAGCGCCACACACACAGCCACACCCTGCCGCCGTGTTTTCTTTTGTTTTTGTTTTTAAGATTTGTTTTTTGTTTTTTGTGGATGGGTGTGTGCTGCCACCGTGCGTGATTGTTGAGGTTGGGGCCGTACCGCATGTATCGCTGCCATCCAGCTGTGCCTCTTGCCGAGTTGATGCGCCTTCCTGTGCTTCTCCTTTTTTCTGCGTTTCCTGCACACAGAAAGAGAAATAAACGCACACAAATAAGTGATTGCACAGTGCTCTGCATGAATGTTTGGCGAAGGTAGGGACGTTGGCTTGCGTCCCGTGCTGAAATGGCAACGCCGCTGCACGATGCCCGCCATGCGTGAAGGTGTTGACTGCTCTTGGGACCATTCTCCTCTCCTTGTTTTTTTTTGCACTGCCGGGTGCGTGCGTTGCTCGGTGTGTGCTGACGCGTGACGGACGGTGCCACGATGGCCTTCTCTGACGATGACGGTCGCTGCGTTCTCGGCACACATCCACACACTCTTTCCTGTCTCCCTGTGGGAGTGATTGCAGCAGGGCATTGCTGCGAGCGTGATGGGGACCACGACGGCGTCGTCCCTCGAGAAGGTGCCACGCTCTGTTGGTTGTGGAGCGGCGAGGCGGTTTGCCTGCAGCTTGACTGACAGAACCGCACAGTCGTTTCATTGCGGTCACTCCGTCGGCATCACCCGCTGCGGTGGTGTCCGCAAGCGCCGCAGCCTCGATGAGGATGGCCTTGTAGTTTTCTGGTGGCTCAGAACTTCAGGCCCTTCGTTTTTCAGGATTGCCCAGTTTGCGAACACCATTCGTCGTCGTGGTCCTGCAGCGGTTATTTGCGACCTGAATTCACATCATGAGCTGCGTGACGGTTGCTCACCATCCACGACGGCAGGAGAGGACCTCGCCGCCACCCCAATCGACATGGAGATTGGGCTGTCCGAAGACCCGGCACAGGCAACGTGGACCAGAGGCCGCAGCGTCTCTTTTCCCTGAAGTGACTGTACAACGAGCACTGCGTGTCTCCCACTGGACGTCCACCCGTTTACATGGACTCGGACCACCATCTGCCATCCCACACTGCAGGGACGGAGGACGGCATCCCGCGACAGGCAGGCATGCTGCCACGACGGAAACATGACGCCATTGTCCTGCGTGAAGCTGACTGGAATGCTTCCACCTCGGCGTGTGGAACACCTCTGGCCGCTGTAATCACATGGTTGGAGATGCACCGCGGCACCGCACGAGCGGCAGCCGTGACAGTCCCACATGAATCTGGACGGACGGAATGGAGCAGGCCGAGTGTGTTGCGGCGGCAGTCTGCCACGTGCTGAAGTGCTCCGCAAGCGGGAGGACCGCAATCATGCCCTCCGCCGTGGCTTCTCCATGCCGCTAGAGGTCCGTGCGAAACAGCTTGGTGCCCTCTCGAGCCCAGGCCTGTGATTCCCCGAGGCATGGCGGCGCCACGTCCCTGCCCTTTGGGATCGGCTGCGCTGCGGTGCTGTTGGGACCGCGTCTGTGCTCTGCCTCCGCCGTAACCTCTTCCCGAGGCGAGCACCGCCACTCCTTGCCGACCAGCAAGCGGCTGATTGACGTCCTCCTGCCCACTCCTCGGCATACTGGCACGCGCCCTGCAGATCACAAGCAACCCATTATGTCGGTGGTGCCGTCCCTTCCTCACACTGAAGAGGCAGGACCGCCCCGACCTCCTCCGGAACCTCCACCTGGCGTGTCCACGGCACCTCCTCGTAGAAAGACGAGCAGCGGATCAACGTCGCCCTGCCCAAGCTGCAGCAGCGTCTTCTCGTCCGTCCACAATATGAAGGCACACGCCCGACGCACTAACCCCGGCACTCCAATCGTTGCAGAAGGCCTCACATGTGGATTCTGCGACGGCTCCACGGTCCTCCCAACAAGTGCCTCACGCGCAGGTCACCACCAAAAATGTCAGGCGTATCAACGAGCAAAAGACGGACAACGCACCTCTGCAAGCTCCAATGGCAGCCGCAGCCCTTCAGCCACTCCTCTGCTGCAACCACCACCAGCCACTGAGCCCCGACAATCCACGGAAGGCCCTGCCGCACACGCTGTGGGAATGCCGCCGTCCTCGACAACTGAGCATCCGACTATTTGGGAACACACCCTCTCGCACGACAGCACCATTCAAAAAGGAAAAACTGGCCACATCGCTACGGACAGCCCTCAGTCCATTAACGAACAGTGGCAGCAAAGTATAACGAAACAAATACTTCCCTTTTCTCGGCATAGAAAAACGTCACCTTCACACTCGCAATTGCCACCAATGAATCCATTGCGCAATACCGCTCTGAGCTGCAATACTTCCTGGTGCCATCCACGTCCCTTGTCGACACATCGATGCGGGTGGGCGCCCATCATTCCTCCCAATGACGGTGCATGTCTGCGACGCACCCTCAGATCCAAAAGGCACGTCCCTCACCACAGCCGGGATCGACTTCGCCCTGTCCGCACGCCTCACTTTGTCCGAGAAGCAGGAGCACGTCAGGCTGGCAGCAAAGCACCCGCATGCAGAACACATCACAACCAGAAGCACCGGCAGCACTGCAGACCGTGAAGTGACATGGATCAACTGACGCATGCTGTACGTAACAAAAAATACTTCATGGCTTGAAAAGAATAAGAAACACTCACAATACCTCAAAAGAAAAGAAAGAATAAAATAGAAGAAAAAGAAGGATAGCACACGCAAATTACTCATATCATCACACACACAGCCCGCGGAATGGGTGCACTCAACCACAAAATCAAAAAGGAAAACAAAACAAAAAGCCGAAGCGTGGGACGACCAGCGCACACACTCTCATTACTCCCGTAAAGCAAAACACACACACAGAGGGAGAGAGAGAGAGGTGGCCCACTCAATGCAATAAAAACAAAACAGAAACAGTTACGGTGCTCCGCCCATGCAGCCAGGCAGGACGGCAGCGGTGCGTGTCGTGCAAAAGAGAGCACCAACGGGCCTGCATGGGTGTGCATGCATATACACAATGGGCACATTATTGTGTGTGCTTCGTGGGGTGAGGTGAGGGCGAGAGTCCATGCAAGGGGACACACACACAGAGAGAGAGAGAAGGAAGAGTGTGTGTGCGGGCGGTGCACGGCTCTCTCTCCCTCACTCTCACGCGGCCACCACCGCAGCAGCAGCCGCACACGCAACAAGAAGAAGCAAAAGAGGGGAGGTGCTGTGGGAGACCGCGGTGCTGCTGTCGCTGTCGCCAGACTTCGTCGTATCATTCGTTTGGGCTGTTGTTGTTGCTGCTAGGCCTTCTCCTGTTGTTGAATCTGCCGGTGGTGGTGATCGTTCTGCAGTTGGTTTTTCTGCCGGCGCTCCCGTTACTGTCGCTGTTGGTGGTGTTGGTGCGTTTTTGGCGGTAGTCGATACGCCGGAAGAGCCTTTCGTCCCCACGGCACTCTGCCCCGCGGCGCGGTAATTTGCATCCCCGTCAGCAACTCGACTCGTTTCATTTTCTTGTGTTTCAGAGGAGTGCTGTTTTGCATCGGGTGTTGACGTCTCCGGTGTCTCCCTGTTGAGTGGTGCGTTCCCTGAAGATATTGTTGGCCCTGACTGCTCATTGTTTTTTAAAGATTTCGTGTCCTGAGTGGATGGTGCACCGCCATTATTCCGTGAAGCGTCTCCATTGTTGGAAATGGTAGATGAAGAAGCACCACCGGAAGGTGGCCCGGAAACGGGACCTTCACTTCCTTTAGGATCTTTAATGGCCTCACCAGTAACAAGGGAAGTTTCACTAGCACCAACAAGACTGCCACCACTAACATTTCGACCGGTACCTTCAATTCCAACGGAACCACCATCGGCTTCACCGACACCGGATGCTTGTGATGGCGATTTTGCTGGTGGTAATTTTAGCGTTGGTGACTGCCCTGTTGATTTTTGCGAATTTTCTTTTGGTTGTCCTGGCGTTCTCGGTGATCCTTGCATTAGTGCTGGCGTCGGTGGTGTTGATTGTGGTAGTGTTCCTTTATCCTTTGTTTGAGATTTGTGTGTCACCGTTATTTCTTCGCCTTCCGCTTCTACTTGCTGTTCATGTACTTCATTGCGTTGTGTTCCGAGGCCTTTTCCTTCTACTTCTTCCTTCCCAACATTCCCTGTTGGTGGTTCTTTGACCAGGTTCCCTTGCTCACTGACGTTAGTGCCTGATCGTGTATCCAACGAGTGACCCGCGGACCCTAAGCCCTCATCGACTGGCTTCGATAATTCCGGGTTTCCTGCTTTTTCGTCTCCAGAATCAGACCGTGAACCTCCCAATGGACCCTCCTTTACTCCGCCATCGACAACATCATTCGCCACCGACTCCACCACCGCCGCACCGCACCACAGCACGCAGAGGGCACACACCAGCAGCACACGGCCAGTCATCGTCATCGCCATCACTCCTGTCACTTGCGTGCAGCCTTCAGCACAAACTAACGCCCCGTCAACGCAGAGTGAAAGCAAAAGGAGAGACAAGTCACACAGCCACGCCACAGCAACAAGTGGCAGCACCCCAGCAACACGCACGTCGAGGCTGAGGGAATCATTACAACTGCAGAATTTGCACACCGCCCTGCAAACGAGAAGCTGAGCAAGGAAAAACAGAGTTGAGTGTCCGGCAGGACTCTCTGAAAGAATAAATAAATTCATTCGGCAGGACATTTATTTCATATGCCAAGCAGCACAAGACAACCGTGTGTGTATGTGTATACATAATGCCTGCATTGAATAAAAAAAGACAAATAAAAAAGGTTGTACTGTTCCACCAGCCCTCACAACACTCTTCACACTTCATTGCGGCATCCGGCCTGTTCCTCCAATCCCCCTTTCGTGCAGTCCGTGGGACGCACAGCAATGACGCCGGCACCGCGTGTGGGCAACAACAAAAAAGAAACACACAATAGAGGGAAACACGTCGCCCATTCCAGTGTACTTCAACCGAACATTAAATAAAGAGAAGAAAAAGGGTACTTATTACTCCAGAGGAAAAAGATTCAAAAAGAGCATTAAAAAAAAAAAAAGGGAAAAACAGTAATAGAGAAGGAAAAAGGGTTTAAAAAGCGATCAGTAAAAAATCAAAAAAGAAGAGAAAAAACAGTGACATAAAAACCGCAAAGTATGCGGCAAATATCCCCCGTGGGGAGTCACAATTCCACCCTCTTTGGCTCGAAAGACTACCACAACTCCACACAGTTCCAGCAGCAGCAGCAGCAACACCAAAGACACGCACACACACGCGCAGTGCGGTCGCCAGTTGAATCGCGTAGCGTCAACTTAAACGTCGTCAAACAGGGCGAGGCAGCCGCCTGGACTCACGCCGCTCCAGATCGTGCAACGTCACATTTCTTGATGCGTTTTTGTTGTTCCGGGGACGTTGTGACCATTCATTCCTCCCGCAATTTTCCCAGGAACGTGCTCGCCGCTGCCGTCATCGGCCTCACTCTTACGGGCATCCTTCGAGCCCACTGTCATCCTCAACGCGGTGGCGGGCGCAGTATTCGTCTCAAATGCATTCGGATCCATTTCTATGTTCCGACTCATGGCAATGCTAGGCTTCCTCTTGGGTGGTGTTGGAGCTACGTTTTCTTTCGGATCGGTTGGAATGCAAGGCTTTTTCCCAGACGTGTTGGTCGCCGTGTTGCATGCGGGACTCGGATCGACGGTGTTGGGTCCGTTAGCCGCCGCAGACTGTCGCCAATCCTCGTTCTGACGTGACGGCTCAGCATTCACTTGCGGCGCAGTTGTCCCACCAGATTTTGTGTCATCCCTCCCTTCACGGGGTGGCGGCAACTGACAGATGCCGTCCGGTCAGCATCGCTGCTCCGTGCAGGCGGATGGATGGTTCCATCGGGGGAAAATTGACGCCGCCACAATTCATAAGGGCCGGCGTATTTATGTGTCGTCACATTCATCGTGAAGGCAGCGGTGGCCCCTTCCTCCTTCCTTGCACAGCTGGCAGCACAGTTGCTACATGTGTGCACCGCATTGGCCACATGGCACACAGCACACAGCTCACCATCCCTGCCATGCATGCGCACATCAAAGCCACTGAAAGTGTAATTCTCACACTCAGCCTCAGCACTGGCAGCAGAACACTTCCTCCACACACACACACGCACACATGCACACGATAGCTCAGGCCGCCGTCACTCAGAGCACACGACACATTCACCGGCACTACCACCGCATCCGCATCACCAGATGCATCTCCAGTACTCCCAGCAGCCGTCACGCACACGGAATTGCAGCAGCAGCACGAGAGCGCAAGGACCAACACGGCGCCGCACCGTCATCATCGCAGTCATCGTCACCCGTGGTGGAGTCGCTGGAGCCAGTCAGCTGATCGGTGAGACAGAAGGAAAAGAATGCAACAACGGGAGAGGGACGGGGCACCGCGGATACAGCGAGAGAGAGCAGACGACATGCGGAGAGGGCAGCAGGCCCAGCCGCACAGTTCACGCACCACGAGACGGCATCCACGCAAGGAAGGCACACAACGCCAGCAGCCACCCACCATGCAGGAGGAGAACACATCCACCTCCATCTCCCCCAGCTCATATCTACAGCCAACGGGAAACGGCCAAAACCCGCGGCCACAACACAACGCACACGGAGCGAGCACCCACCACACCAGCCACAACTGCCGGTGGACCCTCATCCATCATGACGCGGCAAAAAAACTTCCAGCCATCCCGCCCTCAATGGGATGCGGAGCCCAACTCAACGCAGTCACACGCGGTGCTCCACACCCGCAGGAAAGGAGACGCGGGGTGCGCACTCCCTCTCCTCCCTTCTCCTCATGGCCACGGAAGAAGACAACAGCCGCCACACGCAACTGCCAGCACGCACTGCAAAAGAAGCATTCAAATCCACTGCAATGTGCATCTTGTGTGTGTCCCTGCAGAAACGCAAAGCAAAGACGTAGAAACAGGAAGCAGAGTATGTGGAGGGACGCACGAAAATGTACAGCGGAGGTGCGTGATGGAAAAAAAAGGAAGAAGACCGCTCAAACTCATGACTGCACCGCAGTCCAAGCAGCGGCAATTAACACAAAAATTATTTAAAACAAAAAAAGACTTTCCCCTTCAACTTATATAAACCCCATCACACAAAATATTTATAAATAAAAAGGAAATCGTCCATTACTGTTCCACACAAATTTAAAAAAGCAGCCGGCTGCCGTGTGGCCACACCAAACCGTCTGCATATATTTTGTCCGAAAATAAAATTAAAAGATATTTAAATATCCTTCAACCGTCCGACCCTCTGTGTGTCCGCACATCGTTTATATTTCATGGGGTCATCGGCGTGTTGCTGCCCCCTCAGCCCTCCCATCGGCGCGTGAGTGCGGCCCGCAGAGCACAGTCACTCGTGTGTGTGGGGACTGAGAGAAGCACGCAGACGTGACGGCAGTCGCGTCACTCCATCGGGGGAGTGAGCGCAGCAAAAGAAAAAATCATCAAGAGGGAAAAGAAATGCTCACGAGGCCGACACCGAAGGGACTGCCGGCGCATGAAATGCACACGCAAAGCAAAAAATCCTTAAAAACACGGCGGCAGGGTGTGGCTGTGTGTGTGGCGCTGCGGGTGTCTGCCCGCCCTGGCCGCAACAAAACAAAACAAGAGGGAAGAAATGTGTGCTCCGCCCCACAGGCCCTCGTCGCACGCCCACACGTCACGGCTCCCTCAGCGCGCCGTTCGTCGCGGCCCCTCCTCATGCGTGCAGCAGGCGAGGCGCACAGGGCCGTCGTCATGAGCGTGTCGGTGGGTGTGCGAGTGGAGCAGTTGGGCGGAAACACACGGCACCCCTCGCAGGAAGAGTGCAGCAACAAACAATTAAAGAGGGAAGAGTAGAAAAGAAAAAAAACATACATAGTGATTGCCCCCGAAAGCAAAAAAGAGGGATGTGAAAAAAAGCAACAAACAAATAAAAATAAAAAAAGAATTTTAAAACAAGAAGCAAGCATTAAAATAAATTTAAAATACGCAAAAAAAGTAAAATTATCAGAGAAATTTGTTCCTATGGGAAAGTAATTCTGTGCTCGGGAGGGCACAATTGTTCCACGCCGTTGCCAGTCACGCCTCACAGAGCCGCAAACCCCCACAGTCCCAACAGAAGAAGCAGCGATGGCAGCAGTCCGCTCCCACGCATGGTGCCGCCATCGCTGTTATTCTCCTGCGACAAATTTCCGAGGCTGCTGCTGAGTGCCGTAGCATTTACTTCCCCGGCCTCTGGATGGACCCCTTCCTTCTGCGCATCCGTTCCTCCCACCGTCCCCTCATCCTCTCCAGATCTCGCGCTCGACTCATGATTCACCGTGGATCCGCCAGGAGTGGACACGGACACGGTTTTCTGTGCAACTGGTCCGCCCACCGCTGTCGAAGGAGTATCCACCACCACCGCTGCGGTAAGATCTTCAGGAGGTGAAATGAAGGCTTTATTCGGGTTGAGGGCGTCAATCTCTTGGGAAGTCAACGGGCGATTGTACAGCAGGACGTTCGTCACCGTTACAGACACGCCCTCTTGGCCCTCTGCGCTGCCTCCATCCCCTCCAATGTAGAAGTGTGAGATCTCTTTAGACCCTTTAATATCCTTCAAGTCTAAGTGTGCATCTCCCACACGCTGACCATCGACGTACGCGGAGCCCTGGTTGCCGTTCTGTAGCACAATGGCCACTTGGTATTGTTTCTGCGGCTCCCAAGTCCTGCTGTGCTCCGTGGTCGTTTTGCCACTGCGCAGCACTGCCCGCTTCCCTTCTTTGTCGTACGACATTCCCAGGAGTACATTCTTCTCATTGTCATCCATCTTCGCACCCATCAATGGAATGGGGGTATCTCCCCTCGGCACACCGTGGATGGACACCGTCGCCAAAAGAGTGAAGTTGTGGTTCGCAAAGTGGTACAGCTGATTCTCCTCTTGCCTGCCAACAGGCCACTCCGCTCCTGCACCACGTCCCGTGAACTTCACTCCATTATCCGCCGGTTCCGCCCCAATATTCTTATTTACTGTGGCGTTCACCCCGAGGTACTCGTCCTTCCATGTGTCATTAGAGAAATTGCCGGACAAAAAGCCAACCAGCCCATCCGTGATCTTACCAGCGCTGCAGTCATTTTCAGTTGGAGGGTCCCTCTCAGAGAGGCACAGCTTGGAGACACGTTCGTCCACTTTCTTCCAGGTCGCCAGCACCTCCTTCACCCGCTGCAGCTGCTCAGTCAGAAGCACAGAGACCATACCGAGTGATGGCGTGTCCCCATCGCCCTTCTTCTTCTCGTACAGTGCAATCAACTTCTCCTTATTATTATCAGTTTTAATTGCACCACTTTTGTACAGCAGGGAGCTGGCGGCAGCGTCATCATCACTGGATACCGGCCCAATATCAACAATGTGCGTATTGTCCGTCAGCCAAAGATGGAGTACGCCCTTTTCATTAACTTGTCCTTTCTCAGCATTCTTGGCATACACCGGCAGAGTAACAAGCATCACGTCTCTGTCCTCAACACCGTCGCCAAGAGTCGCTGTGATGAAACCGCTTCTAACTATCTTCACGTCTTTACCCTTTTTGCTGCCCCACACGCGCGAGATTGTCCCGAGTGCCTCCGTCCACGATTCCCCCTTGTCATCGGACTCGTACACCCTGCGGCGGCCATCATCACACGCTGTCATCATCATGAGTTTTCCCTCCCTCCACTCCACGACGGAGGGATCACTGCAGCCATCGGCAGACATCCCCTTCGACAGCACCCAACCATCATTGGCCGAAAAGTATATAATCAGTGAAACGGTCTTCCCATTCTCTTTTTTCGTTCCTTCCACTGGGAACAGAAACGGACCGTCCTTCATCTTAAGACCCGATCCGCCGCCGCCAATCAGTCCTGTCAAGGACTGCTGTTGTTTTTTCAAATCAGTCCAGAGAAAACGGTAGGTATCATTCCAGTTTACTCTTTTGCCGCTTTCTTCACCACTGACGTTTCCTCTCGCCAGCAAAAGTCCCCATTCATCTCCTACACTCTTCTCAGGATTAGTGGCAGCTGTCCGACTGTAGTTTCCAAAAAGCATGTAAATATCACTTCCTTTCACAAGTGTTGTTGGCCGGCCGACACGTAAGTTCATCACTCTTTGGGAACTGTCCGGTTTCACTGCTTGTGAGGGGCATTGCCTTTCTTCCGAAGCAGAGCATTCATCCAGTACTTGTGTCTTCAGTTTGCTCTCATGCAACTCCTCTTTTAGCGTTTCACCATTAAACTCCAGGAGTTCCGAGGCAAACCCAGTGAAAACGCATCCTTCTTTCTTCGTGCACTGTGCTTCGGCAACGGCAAACACGCCACCATTCACCTCAACAAGACTGGGAGCATGGAGCGAATCCACTGTTTCTTCTCCTTTCTTGTCTCTCCAAGCAAAATGTTTCCCCGGTGAAGATCCTTGACACGGTCCCGCTCCATTATTATTGGCTTCAGCCCCGGTGTCGTAACACATCATAACGACGAGGAGGAGCAGCACCGCGGAAGTAAACACACGCCGGGACATGTTGGGCCTCCGCGGCTCACTCTCTCTTCCTTCCCTCCTCCTTCCGCTGGATCCGGTCACGCGGCGACGGTTGTGTGTGCGGGGTGCCTTCACTGCAGCAACACGCGAGAGCATATAAATATGTGTGTGTGGGCGCTGTGTGTGTGCTGTTGGTCCTTTCAGTGCCCTCAAATTTCACAGTAGCGTTTAGCGCTTGTTTGTTTTCTAGTGTGAGTGAGAAAAGAAATGAAGAAAACAGGATAATAAGATATGGGTGAAAGAATGAGCACCGTCACCCATCCACAGTGAGTGGCACCATCATCCCCGCCGCAGTCACTCCCAACAACAACAACTCACGCACACAGACACACGGAACAGGAGATGGATGAACAGTGCACCGGGAACACACAGCGACTGTTGCCACCAGCAGGAGGAGTCACGGCGGGTGTGTCGTTATTCACGCGTCAGCACACACCGAGCGACGCCAACAAAAAACAGCCAGCAAATTAAAAAAAAGCGCAACCGCCCTTCGCAGCACCGACGCGCTGCCGCCAGTCGTTTTACTGTTCACCCTTCCAACGCACACTGCAACGCACATCTCCCCACACAGGCGAAGAATCCCTGACCAAAATATACACCGCATAGGAGACACAAATTGGCACGTGCAGTAGCTGGGTGGCAATCCGTAACTGTCCCAGGCACCTTAAGCCACACCACCCAATCGACTGCACACCAGCAACGTGTCAAAAAATATGTCTCAGAATCCCTTCCTCCCTCGCAAGGGAATTTGCAGCAAGAATCTTCTGTGTGCGTCCTCAGAAATCATGCCGCTCTACAGAGTATGCATAATGGCGTGTGTGTGTTTGGCATCGCCTATACTTGCAGAGCAGCTGTGTGCCACAAGAGAGTCTGAAGAAAGCAACGGCAGAGAGAGGCATATAGCACACACGGAAATTACTCATATCATCACACACACACACACACACACAGCCCGCGGAATGGGTGCACTCAACCACAAACAATGAAAAAAACAAAAAGCCGAAGCGTGGGACGACCAGCGCACACACACTCTCATTGCTCCCGTAAAGCAAAACACACACACAGAGGGAGAGAGAGAGAGGTCGCCCACTCAATGCAATGGGAACAGAAACAGTTACGGTGCTCCGCCCATGCAGCCAGGCAGGACGGCAGCGGTGCGTGTGGTGCAAAAGAGAGCACCAACGGGCCTGCATGGGTGTGCATGCATACATACAATGGGCACATTATTGTGTGTGCCTCGTGGGGTGAGGTGAGGGCGAGAGTCCATGCAAGGGGACACACACACAGAGTGTGAGAGTGAAGGACGAGTGTGTGTGCGGGCGGTGCACGGCTCTCCCTCACTCTCACGCGGCCACCACAGCAGCAGCCGCCGCACACGTAACAAAAAGCAAAAAAGGGGAGGTGGTGTGGGAGACCGCGGTGCTGCCGTCACTGTCGCCAGGCGTCGTCGTATCATTTGTTCGAGCGTCGGTGGCTGTTTCTGGCGTTTGTGACGCTCTCTCACTGAGTGTTGGAACAACGTTGGTATTGCCGGTTTCAATGCCGTCATGTTGTTCTTCAGAGCTTTGGGCATCATCCTCATCTACCTTATTCTGGACATGATCACCGCTGCCACTTTTAGAGGTAGATGAGGTCGTTGGTTCAACTGGACTGCCGGTTGCTGCATTCTTCGTCGGATCCTCTGTGTCTGTGTCATGACTGTGCTGCCCTTGTGTAGCATCCTTTGATGGTGGTGCCGGTGCTTCTGACGCCGTTTTGGATTCTGACAGCGTGGCTTCGTTCTTTACTTTTTTTGAATTCTGTGAGTTTTCTTGATCTGATATCGGGCTTTCTTCATCTGATGATGTTGGTAGTGGCGGTGTTGTTTCTCCTCCATTATTTTTACTTTCGCGAGACCCGGTGTGTGCTTTAATTTTTTGTCTTTCCTCCTCTTCTGTTTCTTCTGCCTTTATCCCTTCACTACTTTCACGTTTATCCTGAAGATCGGCATCTAATTTCGTCACCGTGTCCTTGGGCAATTGAGTCATCTCGGAAGTACCCGTCGAAGAGGGTTTTTCACCAGAACGACTGGGAGTGCTGCCAGATGAAGAGGACAAGTGGTCATTGTTTTGATCTTGGGAGTCCGTTGCCGCATTTCTACCGGGATCCACGTTTTTGTTTTCAATCCCTTTTTGACCAGCCGCAGGTAACTGCCCGTTTACTGCGCCTGCGGCACCATTCCCTCCTCCTGCACCAGGTGCTTCATTGTCCTTAGTACCAGCCAAGACACCACCTTGCGGTGATTTATCCTCATTTTCCAATGAATCATTACCAGCTCCATCTCCACCGTCGTCTCCAGCCGCAACCGCCTTTATTAATCCCATTCGGGTAGAAATCAACCCGAAATCCGCCTTCAGGCGCAGTCCATCATTTCCTCCATTATGCGTGTGCGTCAATAATTTCCCTCCACTCTCAGGAACTGCTGTCCCCTCCTCTTCACATCTACCGCCGGCACCGCACCACAGCACGCAGAGGGCACACACCAGCAGCACACGGCCAGCCATCATCATCGCCATCACTCCTGTCACTTGCGTGTAGCCTTCTGCACAAACTAACTCCCAGCCACGCACACTTTTCCATCCATGAATGAGAGTCACGCACAGTAAAAAATAACAGCAACGGACACAAAAATGAGAGAGATGGAATCAGTACAATTGCAAATCACGAACGCCGCCCTGCAAGCCGGAAGATTAAAAAGCAAAAAAGCAAAAATAAAAAAAAACACACACAAGGCTCCACCGCATGCACATACGGCGAGAGCGGTCCGTCGTGTCGGCACCCCTCACGGAGGGTACGCACACACACAAGAGGAGGTGCAGCGCACACAGCAGCACAAAAGCAAAGTAACAATAAGAAAAAAGGAGGAGAGATCCCTGCACACCACGTGGATTGTTGGTCCACGGGAAGTGCAGCCAATATTCATCACAAAAACAATTCAGTTGCCATCGGCCGTCGTTCATATTCGGCGCACACCACTTCATGCAGGCCTGGCCACCACCGCAGCAGCAGCAGCACGCATACGTGACAATAAGATGCAAAGGATGGGAATTGGTGTGGGAGACCGCGGTGCTGCTGTCACTGTCACCAGTCGTCGGCGTTGTGGTTTTCATGGCCGTGGCTTCGACTGGTGTTTCCTTCGGATTGGCTTCTTTATTTTCTTTTTGTTTTTCTTCTTGCGTCCCTGCACCATCAGCTGCTGGATCTTTGTTGCCAGTTTTTTGAGTTCTTTGGGGTTTTGTTTTATTCGATGCTTCCTCCACACGAGAAGATAAAATTGGCTCTTCCTGACCGCCTGCTGACTTCGTCTTTGTAGTGCTTGTATCATCTTTTTCTTCTTCCTTTCTCTCTTCCTCCCCTTCCTCCTCCTTGCCATCATCCTCTTTCTCTTCCTCTTCATCAGTGTCCTGATTCGCCTCCTCATTTTCCCCGTTTTCCGTTTTTTTCTTGTTTTCTATCTTTTCTTCTGCCGTTCCTGATTCCTTTGCTCCGGTTCGTAGTGCCGATTCCGCTTCCGTTCCCGGTAAGTTTTGCACCAATGATCCTGCTGCTTGTGACGTTGCCTGTTGACCGATTGAGCGACCTCCTCCAACGCCATCAGTTGTGTTGTTTTTACTTTCAAGATTATTGCCGTTACCGGAAACACCAGTACCCGGAACGGCTGGAGCTGCTTCAGAACATCCACCACCGCCGGCACCGCACCAGAGCACGCAGAGGGCACACACCAGCAGCACACGGCCAGCCATCATCATCGCCATCACTCCTGTCACTTGCGTGCAGCCTTCAGCACAAACTAACGCCCCGTCAACGCAGAGTGAAAGGAAAAAGAAAGGCAAATACAAAGCAGTTACACCACTCACAATCACCGCACAGTGACAAATGGCAGCAGCGGCAGTGCACATACCATGAGGCAGTTGGAATCAGTGGGAGGACAAAAAAACACACACAGCCTCGCAATAATTGATCAGCAAGAAAAACACACAAGAAACAATTAAAAACAAAACAGCAGTAAACAAACAGCAATAGAGTAAAAACACAACAAAAAACAGCTGCACCAAATGGCTCCAGTGTGCATGCACTCACACACGGACATGCGTCCATGCAAACATTTGTATGCGTGCACTGCATATGAGTGTGTCTGGGATGCGTTCAACGCGACGAATAGAGGGAGCAGCAACAAAATGTAGCACACAGCAGGGCAGCGTAAGCAAATGAAGCAAAACACAATCATTATTTTCTATTATTTATTTACATTGGACCACAGTAGACGCACACAAATCCCCGTGGTTGAGTGCTGGCACGCACAGCCCGCATACACCTCTTCAGCCCAGAGTGGTGTACGCCAGCGCGGATACGGCAAGCAGCAGCGGGGCACACACCTACGCAGAGCTGCTGAGGCTGCCGTCGATTTCGCGAAGACGTGACGGTGCGCGGGTGGTCGTCGTGGTTGGCGCCTCTGTAGTCGTTGCAGTTGGTGGCTCTGGCGCGGCGGTGGTCGTGGTTGGTGCTTTTGTTGTGGTCGTGGTGGTTGTCGTATTTATTGCATTTGTTTTTTGATTTTGGTCTTTTGCGTTATTGGTCTCATCACGATCCGTCTCTTCCTCAGTAGAGTTCTCATCTTTTTCCTGTCCCTGGTTGAGATCACCTTGTGGCTCTGCCGTTCCTATCTCTCCCTCACCTGTCTTTGGTGGCGAAGGAGTTTTACTAGGCAATTGCGTCACCTGATTTGCCACCTCTGACTTAGGCTTCGTTGGACCGGAGTGTTCTCCAGAATTACCAGCTGTATCTTCATTAGCCGCTGTCGCGCACACTAACGGGCAGCAGCACAGGGCGAGCACCAACAGGGCGCACAGCAGACGGCACGTCATCATCGTGAGTGTGGTCGTTCAGTGGTGTGGAGCTGATCTGCACAGTGAGGGACATGGAGAGCAACAGGGGGACGAGAGGTGCGGCAGACACACACAGAGGGCACACCACATGAGGAGAGGGCAGCAGCCAGGCATGCACCGTACGCCGCACACCACGCACGACACACACTCCAATCCACGGCAGCAGGCACACACACACACACAGCCCTGCCGCAACACCAACACACAGATGAAAGAGGGAGAAGCAAACAGGAGCGGCACACAAGGCTCAACCGCATGCACATACGGCGAGAGCGGTCCGTCGTGTCGGCACCCCTCACGGAGGGTACGCACACACACAAGAGGAGGCGCAGCGCACACAGCAACACAAAAGCAAAGTAACAATAAAGAAGAAGAGATCCTCGCTTAACACGTGGATCGTTGGTCCATGGGAAGTGCAGCCAATATTCATCACAAAAACAATTCAGTTGCCTTCGGCCTTCGTTCATATTTAGCGCACACCACTTCATACAGGCCCGGACGCCACCATCGTAGCCGCCGCTGCATACGTGACAATAAGATGCAAAAGATGGGAAGTGGTGTGGGAGACCGCGGTGCTGCTGTCGCTGTCGGCGATGGTTGTTGTTCCCTTGTCACTGTTGGTGAATGATGTTGTCGTTAATTCTTCCGGCTGTTTGACTAGGAGTGATGTGGGAAGACAACTGGTGTCCTGACACTCCGTCAATGCCTTCCCTGTTCCGTCGATTTCTGTGCTCGCCGGTGGTGTGGATGGGTCACTGGGGTCAGCGAGACGCTGACAGGGCTTCCAGCACCATCTGATTGAAATTGGTCGGCCGTGTTCTCGTCCCCAGTCCCACTGCACCAGCTGCTGGGGGCGGCGCAACAGTCATACCAGAAGCACCAGCAATGGGCTGGGGTGTCGGCCGCATCATCAATCAATGGGTGTGCCCGCAATCGATAGGAACGTGCATCGACAGGGACGCTTGCACCGACGCTCGGGAATGGGGGAACAGTGGCGCCAAGCGGAACAGTGCGTGCCACCCCGGAAAATCCGCGAGGCGTGTAGTCGCATGAGGCTGCGTTACTGCCGTGGCCAAGGAAATGAATGGCGGTGCGGGTGGCGTCCTCGTCGTGCGTCCCCTCCGGCCACTACTCGCGGTAAACCCATTGCCCGAGCACATTGGATTCCGCCTGAGAAGCCAATTAAAAATGTTCTTTCCTCTAAATGTATTGTACTAGCATTTGTTCACAGTCGCCCGCAATGCCTCCAGCGGATACACCTGCGATGCACGGTCAACGCAATCCACATCCACTCGTCGTGCGCCATCCAACACCATCTTTTCCTTGGAGCTATGAACAACACCGGGCACACACTCCTTTGCGGCCGTCCACGGCATGCGCCTGCGGTGAGGATCCGGAGAACGTTCCATTCCTTTTGTGCACAAAGTCATGGGGCTGCCGCCGTTAAGCGCGTCCTGGCAAGGGCAGCAACAGCCCGCCGCAGCACTCACGAATGCCCACCCGTTGCCTCCTCTGCCAAAAAAAAAAAGTGATCATGGAGGGAAAAGCGCGCACAAATGCCCTGACAAAAAAAGTCAGCACCAGCGGATGAACACTTAAGCCGTGGGTGCATGCTGCTCAAATGTCCTTCCTTTTTTATCCGCCTTCTTAGTTGCATGGAAATGGTCCGCAACCGCACACGCAAGAATAAAAAAGCAAAAGGCGAGCAGCGCGGCCGTTGAAACACACACACGCGCATCGTATGAAACGCTTCGTGGAGAGAAACGGAATGCAGGAAGAAGCGCACACAATTCCAATGGACACCCGCAATCGTATGTGTTTGTATATTTCCCACTCTTTGGCCCTCGATGCATTCCTGTGCGTGTCTCGCCCGTGAGTCACACTGCCGTAGGATGCCAAGTCCCTGCAAAAACACACCTCAGGACGCAGCAGCGAGGCTCCCCAATGACCACCTCACGGCCATGTCTTTTGGATATCTCATGGACCGAGCGCCTCTCGCTGCAGGCCACACCACACAAAACAAGCAGCAGAATACGCTGAGGAGTTGTGAGGGCAATCGTCCCACCACCGCCACCACCCAGATCAGGATGATTCTCCCACTTGCCACCACACCCTTGAAATGGCTCGGCGTTTTTCCCTGCTGCTCCACTGTTATGGCCACCACTCGCGCCATTTGACCCTGTCACATGATCGCGCTCCATCGATGCCAACGACAGCCCAACCCGCAGCGTCCTCTTCCTGTCCGCCGTCTCCATCATCATACAGGGATGCTTCAGAAACGGATCCTCGTCCGTCGCAGCGTTGCTCGCAGAGGAACTCGTGCTCCGTTCGCTCTGCGCCGACGCCGTGCTGTATCGTCGCACACTCCCGGCCCTCCTCGTCACATGCTCAAGGTTCGCAGACAAAAATGGGCGTCGGGCGTCAGTCCACCGTCTCGGATCAGCTGCTGCTTATTGGCCTCCGTCAACTCGTCGCTGCTGCTCGCAGTCACAAGCAACAGGAGAAGACGCAGACGCACTGGCCTGGGCATCGCCGCATCCCTCGCCAGGTGCCGCACGCCATCCAGGTTTTTCCTGAGGGGTTTGTGCCCAACGGCGATGTCTTTTTCCACCTCCCGCACCTCCGCCAGTCGCTTCTCCCGGTACTGTGCCACAAGCCTCGCGCAAATATCGATGTGCAGCGACAGTCTGGCTTGCCTCTCCTGAAACTCCGGCGAAGCCCGCACCGCACTGCTCAACTCCGCAAGATTGGCCTTCGGCTCCACGCCCTGCAGCAATCCCGGGTGATACGCGTGGAGTCTTTTCAGCGCCGCCGGAAGCTCCTCCTCACACTGCGCAAGAAAACAATGACGGTACGAGCACCAGTACACATCTTCCTCACCAAGTACTGCCGCTTCTGGTCCTCACCCAGACGATTCCTACAGGTCTGCTCATACAATTTCTTCTCCAGCGGCATCAGGTCATCAAGCAGACACCGACATTTGCGTTGGTGCATCAGCGGCATCACCATGGCACAGCCCCAATCAACGATGATCCGCACCGGGTTGCCGCGGCTGTCGGCGCCCCTAAGTGAAATCCGGCTCGTCGTGGTATTGCCTGGCAAGCCCTCAAAAAAGGTCCTGGCAAGCCCATGGCAGATGCTGCCACTGTTTTGGTGGCGAATGACAGGCACACCGTTGTTCATGGCGTGAATAGCCGCCACAGGACGTGACGCCGCAACATCCAAAACGGACCATCAATTCGGAGGCGACAGCAGCTGAGGGAACTCATTCTGCATGCTGAGATGGAAAACCAGCACCTCAGGGGCGGCGAAGTCTAACATACTGTCCTTGGAACGCATCGCCCTCGGCGCTATCCGAACCCGCGGGAGTTGCTGAGGACTGCGATGCGGGGTGCACCCCAACGCAAAGATGTGTGCATCCCTGTACGGGACCTTTGCTATCCAATCCTCAGCCACGCGGCTCACAGACGCATCCTCCACGGCAAAAAAGTAGGGCGCAGGGCTACTCATAATCGGCTGCCGCGGCGTCATGGGGTCCTCGAGCAGCGTCACGCCGTGCTCCATGAGCTCATGAAGACGCAGTGAGCAGCTCAGCGCAGACGCAGCATGGGCATCGCAGAAAAAAACATTGGACAATCCATGAACGGCGTCAAGCATCTGGTGGAATATATAATCCCGCACACAACCACAAACGCCATTGCTGGGCTCACGCGGCTGCCCCACCTCCGTCGGCCTTGACCGCACCAATCCGCTCCGCATAATATGTCAAGTACAAGTCACACAGACAATGTGATTGGATATGCGTGTGTGTGTCTTGCGTGCGCACATTCCACTCCCACCGGTGTATGTATGTGTATGTGCGTCTAAGAAATCGAACAAACACACAACCAATGCCATACTACTATATGGTGGCCCACATCGGCAACCAACACGGGAGGAGTTATGCGCATCGGAAATACAACCAATTTCAAACAAAAAGTCAAACGGAGCCCATACAGCACATGCATATGGAGAACGGCACCCATTGAAATGGATGATTTTCTATTGGGCATCCAATGCTGAGTGCGGGCCACGCAGGAGGAAGCGCATTCGCCTTGCAGCGCAACGCCGTCCACACCGCAACTCCATGGAGTGTTGCCACGACGGCAGTAGAGGCAAGCAGAAGAAGCAGCGGACAGGGACAAGCAGCAGCAGTAGCGTCATCACCGGGAGTCGGAGGCGTGTCCTACCTGCAGCCGAGAGAAGCTTCTTCTCCGCCTCCTGCGGTGCATCCCGGCCGGATCCACTTCTCCTCTGGCGACGGATGCTTCTGAGGAGCAGCCGTGTCTACGTCCTTCGGTGGTGTGCCGCGGCTGGTCTCAATGCTCTCCGCAACGGGGACGGGTGCCCCTGGCAATCCTTGTTCAGTAGATGCCAGTGAAACCGTCCTGCACCACATGCTCTCTCCTCGCCGTCCCACGAAACTATTGGAAGCAGGTTGCCGCTGGTGAAAGATATCGTGCACACCTCTGCGTGGTCACGGCAAATAACGTTTTCCCCATCGTAGCGCGGAGCGGTCCACGTAGTCGTCGCCCCGGCCGTGCATGGGACCAACGGACGTTACCCTCTTCAGTCACTTTCAGACGCACCCGCATGCCGAGGCACCGCAATGCCGCATGCATGGAAGCACTGAGATGTGTCTCCTCCAGATCTCTCGCGTCCGTCGTGTTGGTGGAAAACTTGTCCAGACACCACGAAGAGGGCTTGTCCCCAGGCATCGCAGACAAATATTCTCCCCTCCCAAATAACAGCGGCAGCATCCCTCACATCCAATGCGGGATAAATGATGGGGCAACTTTCCATCGGGCATTTGGCTGACCTTTCATGGATACTCCCCAAATACCAACCGCGGGAATACCGATCCAACGTGCAGCGTCTGGCAGAAAACGCCCAATACGCAAAGCACGTAGCAATATTCACTCATGTTCGGTGCGGAGCGCTTCCTCTGCAGTCGCCAGCACCCTCAATCGGTGACATCCACTCATCCCTCGCGCGGCGCTGCGACCAATGCGACTCCAGCGTCCTCCCGTCCCCATCGTCATCCTGCAGTTCCAAGCCATCAATGTCGTCGCAGTCATGGTGCTCCCTCGCAGCCATCGCGGCATTCGTCGAGTGCACCACCACCGACAACGCCCTGCCACGGACAGCACCATTCCTCACCATGCTGCGGCTGGCCATGTGTGGGCAGTTGAACCCGACAGCATGGGCCATCAAGTGCGCGGCGATGCGGGTGGCGATGCGTCCGTGAAATGAAACTGACGGGAAATGTGCATGGCGCCAGCGACGGCACGGCCATCCTCCAGCGTGGCGCACGGCAGTGCCCACACACCACCAAGCGCCGCAGCCACGCACTGCACCGTTTTAGCATTGGCAACACCAGTGGAACGATGCCCAGCACACACCGTGAACCAACTGCAAACGCCGCCCGTGGCAAATGAGGACACAGTCAGCGGACCCTCCAGTGGCTGGAAGAGCAGACGATCCGCATGCGGGTTTACAGCAGCAGGGACAGTCTACTCGGCAAGAAGGTTACCGTTCACAGAGGATAGAACATCATCCTCAGAGTGGCGATTTTCATTCAATGAATTCATTGCGTAACACCGGGAGAAGCCGCAGTGCCTCCTGCTGTCACACGGATCCGTTGTTGGCACCTTAATGCGGACGGTCACCCATGGGTCCTTCCAGACGCCGCTGCACACATGCAACACATCCTGCGCCCTGAGATGCATTCTCCCCACCGTAGACAAGACAAACCTCGCCGTCGGAGAAGACCACATCGTCAAAGAATCAGGAATACTTCAGGGAGACAACAAAGCAACCGCCGACAAATCACATCGCAAAGATCATCACAAACAGAAGAAGCGGCGCTGGAGGCCGTAATATTAACGTGAATCAACCGACGCATGCCATAAGCCAAAGACAATCTAATTGACTCGAGAAGAATAAAAGAGGCTGACAAACTCTCCCGGAAGAATAGAAAAAATATGAAACAAAAAAAAAAAGATTCGGGTCTCCGCAGTCAAAACAAACTGCCAATCAAAAAAGCGCGAGAAAGGTGGACTCAACCACAACATAATTAAAACAATAAAAAAAGAAGAAAAACAAGTCAAAGCGTGGGACGACCAGCGCACACACACTCTCATTGCTCCCGTAAAGCAAAACACACACACAGAGGGAGAGAGAGAGGTCGCCCACTCAATGCAATAAAAACAAACAGAAACAGTTACGGTGCTCCGCCCATGCAGCCAGGCAGGACGGCAGCGGTGCGTGTCGTGCAAAAGAGAGCACCAACGGGCATGCATGGGCGTGCATGCATATATACAATGGGCACATTATGTGTGTGCCTCGTGGGGTGAGGTGAGGGCGAGAGTCCATGCAAGGGGACACACAGAGAGAGAAGGACGAGTGTGTGTGCGGGCGGTGCACGGCTCTCCCTCCCTCACTCTCACGCGGCCACCACCGCAGCAGCAGCCGCACACGCAACAACAAGAAGAAGCAAAAGAGGGGGGGTGGTGTGGGAGGCCGCGGTGCTGCCGTCACTGTTTTGTGTGTTCGTCGTATCAGTTGTGTTGGCGGTTACTGTCGTTGCTTTTGTATCTTCCCCAGTCCCTTCTGAGCCTTTGTCTCGGTGGCTTTGTGGTGTGGCCGCGGTCTCAGGCGACGGAACATTTTTTTTATCTTCACTCGTGGTGTCTTCGCCATCCTGCTTGCGGGAATCAACACTGTCTTCTGGAGGTGATGGAAGATTTCCTTCCGCAGGCAGTGTTTGCTCTCCATTAACTGTTGTGAGTGCGTTCCCTGCTGCAGGTGTATTTTCGTCGGTGGTCTTTTTTTCAAATTCCGTTTGCGTAGGATTGGTTTTTGATTCCTGACTGCTGGAAGGAGAAATGTCCTCTGCAGATATAATTGCCTGGTGCATTTCCTGATCACTCCCACTTAAATTCTTTTCCCTGGAATCTGGGCCTGGTGCAATTGCTACTTCTTGAACACTCTGCATTTCATTACTTTTTTCTTTTTCCGCTTTTGTCTCTTCATCATCATCATCATCATCAGCTTCCTGTATAACTACGGGAGTTAAATTTTCTTCTCCACCTGGCGCTCCACCTTGTAAGCCTTGGGGTCCTTCTGGAGAAATTACAATTTCTTTTGATTCCAGCGGAAGATCAGCACCACTCCCACGACCTGCTGTCTCCTCCTCTTCAGTACAGACACCGCCGACACCGCACCACAGCACGCAGAGGGCACACACCAGCAGCACACGGCAAGTCATCATCATCGCCATCACACCTGCCACTTGCGTGTAGCCTTCAGCACAAACTAACGCCCCGTCAATGCAGAGCAAAAAGAGAGACACGGCCGCTACACCACACACAGCCACCGCACAGTTACAAATGGCAATGCACACACCATGAGGCAGATGGAATCAGTGCAATTGCTGAACTCACACACCGCCCTGCAAACCAGAAGTTAAAAATGCAGTAAAAAAGAACAACAACAGTTTTGAGATTCCGGCATGACTCCCAAAAAGTAAAAAAGTGCAAAATCGATCAGGCAAGACGTTTATTGTATTTGCCAGGAAGCAAAATGTAAACGACCACTGGTTAGTGTATACTTGATGCATGGACTGAATAAAGCAAAAAAATTTTTAATGTTCCACCAGCCCACACAAAACACTCTTCACATTTCATTGCGGCATCAAGCCCGTTCCTCCGTTCCTCCTCTTGTGCAGTCCGTGGGACGCACAGCAATGGGGCCGGCACGGCGTGTACGCAAAGGAAGGCAACAAAAGGTAGAAGCACGTCACTCATGACAAAGTACGACAAACGAGCATTGGGGAAAAACACAGGGATGCTGATTATTCCAATAGGGCAAAAGCAGCAAAAATGAATAAACAAAAGAAAATTAAAAGACTTAAATTATTGACAAAACTCAGTGGGTAATGCTAGCAAGCTGCACAGTTATTGCTCCACAAAAAGCCGCAATTCCACCCTCCCTCACACCTCAGCAGAGCGCCGCAGTGCCCCACAGCCCCAGAAGCAGAAGCAACAACACCCGAGACACACACCCATGCACGGTGATGTCACCAATTTCGGCCATGGTTAACAAATCCTTGAAATGCCCGAGCTCACAAAAAACATTGCTCACAAGTGATGCTGCGTTGTGCTCCGATGGGATCTCTGGTTTCCCAGACGTTGTGTGCAAATAATCCTGTGCGGCATCACCGCCACCCGACAAGTTATCACTCGTTCAACATTTGCTAGGGCTGTTCTGGGCTCAGGCGTGGCTGTTGTGCCATTTAAGGGCATTAGATCACTGTCGCTGAGTGAACCGGGATCGCTGCCCGTGGCCACGGCGGTGCGGGCACACGTGTCCCATTCATGCTCAACGTCTGGTTAGTCGCTGTCAAGTGTGTTGGCGGTGGACGGCTCGTTGCCTCTCGCTGAGCATGAATAGGATCCGCTGCGCTGCCACTTGACTCCCCGGACAGCCGCGCTCCCTGTGGTGCCTCACCGCGCAGCTGCTGGCAGCCTTGCCTGCTCCTGCCGAGCGGAGTGTCCTGCCACTGAGCATGGCCACAGACAGTTCCCAGTTCCCCGCCTGGCAGCAGCATCCCAATCGCCCACACGAGTTACTGTCGCCACAGATACCCTCTCGGTGATGGAGGCGCTATGCCTTGGCTCGCTGGCGGCGCACGACGACGCCACCGAGAAGAGTTGCACCGTGCCGCATTCAATGGCGGATTGAGGTCGCACTGTTGGCTCCACATTTCCCCACGACGCTGCGGAATCCCACGCAGCGCGACAGCGGACGCTGATGCCGTCATGGCTCGATCCCTCCCGCAGGACTGCGTCAATGCCTGGCACGTGGGCTTCCTCACTGCAGTGAAGCGACGGAACCTAAAGAAATTCCAGGAGGAAAATGAAGCCGCACACCGCGTGACAGGAGCCTGTCGGTGTGGCGGGGCTCTGTTCCTGGTGTTGGCCGGGACATCGTGCCGCTAGCCACGGCGTGCGTGCGCGATGCGACTCCTGCCCGCTCGTTGGCGGGCCCGCACGCGCCCTGCGTATCACAAGGAACTCTCTGTGTCGGTGGTGCCGCCCTTTCTTACTGCGGTGCGCGGCCCGCCTCTGCCTCCGCCGGAACCTCTTCCCGACGTGAGCACCGCGACTCCTTGTCGACCAGCGAGCGGCGGATTGACGTCCTCCCGCCCAACATGCGGCATAATGCGCTCGTCCGTCCACAATATGAGGGCACATGTTTGACGTGCTCAGCCTGGCGCTCCGATAGTTAGACAGGCCTCACATGCGGATGCCACGATGGCGCCACCGTTTTCTTAGCAGGCACCTCGCGCGCAGGTCGCCACCGAATTCGCCAAGCATGCCGGCAGGCAAGACACGCAGGAAGCACAACCGCGGGCACTCGAGATGGACCAGGCGCTTTCGCCACCGCCTCATCACAGACGCCATGGGCTGCTGATTCCCGACGGACCACGGGAGACTCCGCCTCATCCACTGTGGTAATGCCCTCGTCGTTGATAATATGGATTGTGACTGTTTGGGACTGCCCCAGCGTGCACGACGGCTCGTTTGCGACGGCATGCTTACCACGTTATTGCTGACGGCCTTCGCGTCACTCACAGGTAGCCAGCACAACCAAAACAAGAAAATAAGCTGCTTTGTGATCAATATTAGCCCCTGGCTCAGCCGGCCACCTCAACGTGGTGCCAGGGTCTAGTACTCTTTGCTAGGGAGGAAGCCGAGCGCCTGCTGCCCATCCGCTGCACGCGGAGAGGCAGGAGACGCCGCACAAACGGGTCGGAAGGGCACCAGATGGAGCCATTTACATGGCTGCCCGCGGAGCGGTATTTCTATCCGCTGCTGAATTCCATCGGCGCTTATCAGCGCTATACATACCGTTTGCGTGCCGTATGTGACGCGCAACGACAAAAGCTACTGCTAAGCGGAGACATTGAGCAGAACCCAGGCCCCATAGCAGTACTCCAGATGAACGTTTCTTGCCTCACGCCGTCAAAACTCGCAACATTAATGGCGCAAGGAGCAGACATAATAGCCATTCAGGAGACTTGGAAGTCGTCAGAGCAGATCGCCAGCATGCACACTGGAGATTATGTGCTCTATGCACAGTCGCGCATCGGCAAGGGAGGCGGTGTGGCGGTGCTGGTGCGGAAAACTCTCCGCTCCAAGCGTATACCTCTCACCATCCCCCAGCATGACACCTGCCTTGAAGTGGTGGTGGTCCAGGTTGCTCTGGACCAGAACCGTGATCTTATTGTAGCGAGTGCCTATATGAGACCACCACCGCAAGTAACGCAATCCTTCAGGCGGTTAGTAAACTGCTTTCCAGCCTCGTCGCCGCTCCTGCTGTGCGGGGATTTCAACATGCATCACCCACAGTGGGAGCCATTCTTGGAGACTTCTCCAAGCGAGGTTGCTGCAGAGTTTTTATAACTGTGCACGGATGCGGGACTCACCTTGGTTAACACCCCTGGTGAGGTCACGTATGCCCGTGGCACAAGAGAACGATCCTGTATCGATCTGACATGGTCAAAGCATTTGACTGTGTCGGATTGGTCAGCTTCCGTGTCGCCGCTTAGTGATCATTATATGCTGACATTTACGCTGCATCAGGCATTTAAGGATACCATACCTTCGGCACCTAGGATATTCTACAGTTGGGGGAAGTGCAAGTGGGATTTATTCGTCAAGGACTTCGACGCACAACTTCCGGCATATGACTATAAAAAGCAGTCCACCGGCATTAAAGCTTTCACGAGAGCGCTTATAACTTCGTATCGACGGCATTGCCCCCGCGGCATGCACAAGGACGGTCCCAGGCTTTGGGACGACACTCTCATGGAGGCAGAGCGGATGGCTACCGACAGCAAGGCCCGCTATCTACAGTTACCGACGCCCGACCGAGAGGCAGAAATGCAACGGACAAGGAGTCAATTCTTCCTCCTACTCCGAGAGCGCTTGCGCAACACGTATCTACGTCGCATCAGCAAGTTAAATCCAGGCGAGCCACTCGCATGGAAATACATTTCCGGACGAAAAAAGGCATCACTTCCATCTCCCACATCAATGTTATTAGGAGATGGTCAACACACTTACAAAACAGCAAGGAGAGCAGCGAATGCTCTCAATCGCATCTTTCTTCCATTTCACCCCTCCCACAAGGCAGTTAGGTTTTCCAAAGGCATCAACAGACAGAACATATCTTTGAACATTAATGCTTCTTTTCTTTTTGGGCAGCAGAACAACAACGAGTCTGCCGCTACATTTACGTCAGGTTCTTCACTCTCATCTAGTTCTGAGCCACAGGATAAAAACGAAGCTGCCACCACATCTGGTTTAGTTGCTCATCTTCACACCCCTCTTGATGCACATTTTAATCGTACGGAACTGCTTGCTGCGCTACGTAATACGCCGTATGGCAAGGCCCCCGGACCGGATGAAGTCCACAGTGAGGCGCTGCGACATACTTCTTCAAAGGGCCTCCGATTCCTTCTTCGTTGCATTAACCACAGTTGGACGACCGGTACGATTCCGGTTGAGTGGAGACGCGCTACCATCGTTCCGCTCTTAAAACCCGGTAAGTCGCCGGAACTGCTTGAGTCATATCGACCCATCAGCCTTACCTCCATTGTGAGTAAGGTTGCTGAGAAAATGGTACTGAAGAGATTGCTTTGGGTGTGGACGCCGCACCCCCACCAGTATGCATATCGTAGTATGCGTACTACGACGATGCAGCTGGCACACCTGACACACGAAGTGGAGCATAATAGAAATCACTATTTCCAAGTGGGCCTTCCCAAGAAGAGCGGTATTGGCAATCAACTCCACTACAGACCCCATCGGACCCTGCTGGTGTTGGCTGATTTCAGCAAGGCTTTTGACTCCATAGATCATCGAGTCCTCAGTCGCTTGCTGGCTAATATTCCGGGGGTGAATTGTCGAAGGTGGCTTAGAAACTTTCTATGTGGTCGCTACGCGAAGACACGAGTTGGCCACAGACACAGCGATCGGCGTCCCATGCTGCGAGGAGTTCCTCAGGGGTCCGTGCTGGGACCGTATTTGTTCTCCCTTTACGTACACCCACCTCTCAATCCGCTGAACAGCTTTGCGGGTGTCGCAGCAGACATGTATGCGGACGACCTCTCTATTATCGTTAAGGGGCAGTCCCGGGAAGACGCCATTCCCACTGCCAACATGGTTCTTGGAAAGCTGCATGCGTGGAGTCAGGAAAATGGCCTGGCCATCA